GATGGAGACAGCTTAAGTGCCCAACAACGGAAGAATGGATAAACAAACTTTGGTACATACATATAAGGGAAGACTATGCAACCTTGAAGATTAATGATGAATCTGCAAAATAGCTCATTACATGGATGAACCTGGAGGACATTATGCTGAGTAAAATTAGTCAATCTCTAAAGGACAAATATCATATGAGAACATTACTGTAACAGTTTATGAAAAGGTTTCTATACTAAAAGAAATATTCTTTGATGGTTACCAGGGGCAGAAGGGAGGGGAGAATAATTCACTAGCTAGAGGGTAGACACATGTTAGCTCAGGTGATGGGAAGGGCAATATACAATGAGGGGAAGGGCAATATACAATGAGGGGAAGGACTATGCAAGAAGAGGGAGGGTGGCAGATGAACAATGAATATAAGGTAAGAATTAGGGAGGTATGCATGGGCTAAATGGGATAGAGGTAAATAGTGACTTATACATAACCTTGAAACAACAGTGTTCTGTGAGTAGATATATGGACCAAGACATAGGCTGAATAGGTAAAGGAGAGGGAAAATGTTTATGTGTCTATCTTGTGGATATGGGTTTTCTCGAATTTGTAAAATAAGCATTTGTGTGTGATAGAAATGAATATTGGGAATTATGACTACAGAAAGCTTGTAAACCCATCTTCAGCTTATAACTGATTGGATTTGCTAAAAGGGGAGTCAGAATTTGCCAAGGAAAATAGATTTTCTTGTTGAGCTTTTGTAGACCATGGTGGAAGCCTTAGGTGGAAAACTGAACCCTACCCAGATCCTTCTGAGTTAGAACATTCCCACTTGAAAAAGCATACAGACTAACAGAAGATTCTTATTGAAAGAAAGACCTACAGAAAAAAAAGCAGACTGACATCAGAGATGGAAGCAAAGATGATGACATTGAGAGATAGAGCAGCTGAGGACTCTAGATTCATGGAAACAGAAAGGTTGTATGCTGGCAGCCAATAGGCAGGCTTGCAGAATGTTCCTTGGGTTTGTTTTTTTTTAAATGATAATATATTCCTGGGTGTTTGTGTGTACATCAAAACAAAACAAAACAAAACAGAGGGAATGAAAACGAATACTGTTGAATGATGACACATGGAGGGGATTGTTATTATTGCAATGATATGAAATATGACAGGACGAGTGCAAAACTGATGTGTTCCCATATAATCTATCATTCAATGCACAATAATAGCTTTAAAAAAAAAAAAATCAGACTATTTGGCTGTTTGAATATCAAGCAAGCTGATATTCAAAGACATTAAGGCAAGAAAAGTTAACCCATCAGGGAAAACCTCCTTCTAGGTAGGAAACATAAAGGGACTCCGAGATCTGTCTGGTATGTTCACTGGTAACCACCTAGGTCTACTTGTGAGTAGAAATGGGGGAAATGCAGCAATGAAGACATGGGCTGAATATGGCCATGTTCCATTGACATCCATTGACCTTGAGTTGGGGAAGGGAAGAGGAAGGGTTGTCTGGTCTGAAGTTTAGGGAGATATGTGAACTCCTGAGCCCATGGGCAATGACCTATCCCCTAGGGGATAGGGCTGAGAGTGAGGCAGCCAGCTAGTCTAAAGTGCAGGAAGAAGTGCATGAACTCCCAAACCTGCAGCTAGCACCCATTTGACCTAATTTGGCTGGCTAGCTGACCAGAACTTGACCAGGTGAAGATAAAGATGTTTGATACTGTGTGCAAGTGTAAATTGCTATAGTTTGATGAGCTGGACTTTTGCTTATAGATGCAATTGCTCAAAATTCCAACTAGAATGAGAGAATTCTTCATATCAAGGAACAAACTTGTTTCCTCAGTGTACTGGAGTGATAGAGATGGGCAATTTAGACATTAACTATCAAAACTGTGGGTGAGGTGGGGGATATAGAGGCATGAATTGGCTTGCTTACAAGCTTTCATGAGAGTGCTTAGTTTCAGAATTAGGAGGGTAAAGTAGAATCCCCACGAATAGTTTTCTTCTTTTCAGATGGATCTGGTGAAAGGAAGTGGGGGATGGTAGTGAGAGGATTTTATGATTCAGTGGTGAGTACTTGTTAGCAGGATTCATTGTGATTGTCACAACTGTAATTGTAGATGATGTGTAACTAAAAGTAGGGAGTAGTTAATCTTTCATCTGAGGAACAGACAATCCTAGGACCATCAGGAAGCTAGAGCATGAGTGGAGTGTGAGAGACAGCGGCAGAGGTCATGGCATGGAGAGACAGAGCAGCTTCCGGCTGTAGGCCAATGAACTGAGTAAGGCTGTGTGCCTGGGCAGGAAGCGGGCCTGCAAAATGTGCCCTTTGGACATTTAAATGAATATGTATTTTTTGTTTTTAAGTATCATCAAAAATTTTTGCTTTGTTCGTTTGTGAAATATAAGATCTAAATGGGAAGCCACAGGGAGGAAGTAGTAAAATTGTTGTTGCAGGGAAGGGATTATATACTTTGTAATCATTGAGATGAAATAAAGTGTATATAATTTGTTGAATATAAAGCTGATGATCTTTTCTGGAAACCTTCGCTCGATTCACAATACAAAGTTTAAAAGAAAAAGAAAAAAAAAAAAAGGAAAATCTGAGGGACAAGCCCAGTGCAGTGACTAGTTTCTAACCCATGGTTCTACCCCTTATGATTTTGTCCCAAACCCATTAGGGGAATAGAGTAATGTATTTCCTGCAGGCCTCATAAGTACTTGGGAAGGCCTAAGGAGGAATAGAAACTTTTTGGCCCAATAACTATTGGAACCTATGTCCTACCTCCTGAAAGTGCTTAGGATTCTGGATTTAGTAGCCCTCAGGGTGCCTAACAGGGATTGACACTGGGCCCTGAGCTCTCTGCCTTGCTGCAGACTCCTATACCCACATGCTATGGAAACAGCCGAGTAACAGACCTACTTATCCAAAATAAAGAGAATGTGTGGGCTAAGGTAATGGTCATTTCAGTGTTAGCCAGCTTGGACAGAGGGGTCTTCCTAAATAATGACCATATAACCCCAAAACAGGAGATGAAAAGTGGTTAACTGATAGAGTGACTGAGTTGAGTCACTGCCAGAGGTGAAGCGTAATTCCTTGTTTAATACCTGCCTCTCCTTCCAAACTATGAGCACCACAAGGGCAGGGGTCATGCTTGGTTTGCTCACCCACGAGTGTGGGGTACCTGCCTAGCATACAATGTGTAAGCATCAAAACGTGGCTTTACTTTCTAAGGATCATGTAAATGTGAAATGTTGTTATTGCTAAGTGCCTTCAAGTCTGTTCCAACTCAGAGTGACCCCGTATAAGGTTTCCGAGGAGCCACTGCTGGGTTGGAACAACCAACCTTGACGTTCAAAGTGACCTTGCAGTCCAGTGCATTATACTGCAGCACCACACCAGGACTCCAAGTGTGAAATAGTGAGATGTAAATAGAATAAAGTCTTACTTTACAGACAATTTGAAATCATGTAAATCACCCTCAAATGATCGATGCATTTTAAGAATTGCATGTTGTCTTAACTGGCAGGCCACATGAATTATAAATCCCAGGATGGTGCCAAGTACAGAAAGAAATCAAAGGCCAGTGTTTCTAAGCTGGGGCATTGGAGAGAGTGCTGACCCTGGGCTTGGTAGGGCAGGGGTGCTGAGCATTGAACGGATGATCTTGAGTACCGTATCTACAGAACAAGATCTTTCTATTAGTCTTTTTTGTATTATGCTGTGGGCTTTGCAATAACTTCACCAAAAGAATTTGGGTTTTGCCCTTGGTTCCTTAGAGATGACCTCTAAAACCTTGGAATTTCCCTACTAATCAGATGTGTCTCGGATGAGTGCTGCAGACTGCACCTAACCTAATAAAACTAACCACATCTAAACCCACCACAATCAAGTCTGTTTTGATTCACTGTTGTTGTTAAGTGCCGTCAAGTCAGTTCTGACTCATAGCAACCCTTTGAGCAGCTGGTGACTCTGAACCGCTAACCTTGCAGTTCAACCCAACCTTGCAGTCCAGTACATTATCCCACAGCACCACACTGACAGTGTTCAACTACTATTCGTAAGGTTTTCAGCGGTTAAAAAATCAGACGTTGCCCTCCTTTCCTTTTTCTGTGGTTGTCCTAGTCTAGAAGCTCTGCTGAAACCTGTCCGCCACGGGTGACCCTGCTGGTATTTAACATACTGGTGGCATAACTTCCAGCATCACAGCAACACAGAAGCCACCACAGCGGGACAAACTGACAGACGAGTGGTGGACCTGACCTAATAGGTTATGCTAATGAAGTGACTTTTGGTCAGATGGTTAGGATCAGAAGACGAAATGCTGCATGCGATTTTGATTAATGTTGATTATTACTCATGCAAATTCATAGCACCTTGACACATGCAGTCAGATGCTTTAAAAAATGACTAATTGCTCATTAACAGAAGGTTAACAGTTCAAAGCCACAGCCACTCTGAACAGAAGATGGACAGTTGATGGGTGTCATTTCATTTTTAACAGCCACAGCAGTTTGGAAACTCACTGAGTACAGTCCTCCTGTGTTTTATGGGGTTACTCTGAGCCAGAATCGACTTGACAATGGGTTCGGTTTGATTACTTAAACCCACTGCCATCCAGCCAACTCTGAATTACAGTGACCCCTATGTAGGATTTCTGAGGCTGTAGATCTTTATGGGAACAGAAAACCTCCTCTATCTCCTTGGAGTGGTTGATGGATTCAAACTGCTGACCTTGAGGTTAGCAGCCCAATGTTCAACCCACTATGATGCTGGGGCAGTAACTATCAAAATGCACTTCAAAGCAAGTCTTTTGAGTTTTGGCTGTGACCATGATTTGGAATACTCAAGGTGCATGGGTCATGTTCCATATCTCCTTCAGCTATTGAGAGCACTGTGGGCTACTATGAAATGGTCTCTTCCCTCCCCTTTCCTGCTCCACTCCCTTGTGTACTTTGTAGCTCCAGAAGACCAAGGCAGAACACAACACAGAAGCTGCTCTCCCCTGTCAGTATGTGATGGGACGGGCATCGGAGATGAAGGGGCCTTCGGCATTTAGGCATCTGGAAATCTCTAACACAGGATTTCCCAAAAGCAATGTAGCAGTTGGGGGTGGCCCAAGGATGGAGTCTCTTTTGAAAAGTAAATTTCTGTAACACTCAAAGAGAATGACAAATGATAAACCCACACAAAACCCAACCATCTTTCTCCCTCAGAGCAGCTGGTGGTTTTGAACCTTGCAATTAGCAATCCGATGCCTAACCCACACCACCACCAGGTCCCCTTTAAATCATTTTCTTAGAATTAAGTGAATTTTACATATACCAAAGTTCCTTCTTAATAGTTTTCCTAACCCTAAAAAGTTATCCCTTACCTGTGTCCAGGCAGATGTTAGTAATGTCATTGATAGGATCAGATGCTAGGATAACCAACAACTTGCTTAAAACAGAAGTTCCCTGAATCTAAAGGAAAAAAGCCAAAATTAGTTAAGAGAACTCCCTGATTTCTAAGCTAACTGCTTCTTAGCCTTTCTAAAGAATATAAGAAATCAACCACAACCTAGAACGGCCTCCAACCTCTGCTCTTTTTCATTTTAATTGTAAATCCTCTTATATATTATTCCATAACATCTTCAGAAAATTGTCTTTTGCATATGAGGGGTCTTCACAAATCTCATGGAAAAATAGACACCAGAAAGGAAATTTTGAGATGGATTGACACAATGGTCTCAAACATTGCAACATTTGGGAGGATGGATGGCAAAGGTCTGGGCAACTTGGTGTGATGTTGTGCATAAGGTTGCTACAAATCGGAACCGACTCCACAGCACCTAATAACATTTGTGATTAATTGGAAATTCCCAATTTGGAATACATGGACTCCCAGGACTTCCTAGGACTCAGGCCTAGGCTTCTAAGAACTGCAGCGCTATCTGCCTTTCTCGGGGTTTTTTGCCCCATATGCCACTGCAAGTAGCATAGAACGCCATAACCATCATTTTTTTAGATACTACATATTATCTCATTTGATCCTCACAATAATCTTATATGGCTGCTATGATTATCCCCATTTTACAAATAGGAAACTGAGACTCAGAAATTCTGCTTAAGCAGCTTGTCTAGGTTCATAAACCTAGTAGACAGAGAGGTCAAGTTTTAAATCCAAGTGTGCCTGATTCCAAACCCTGGTCTCTTAAATTAAACCCTTGCTTCTTACTCTCACCCCTTGTTTCAAAGCTCAAAAAAATTCATTTTCTATTAAAAACATTTCAATTGCCTTCATCCTCAGAATCACACATGGAGAGGTACAGATGAGGAATGCTATGAAAAGGGCAAATTCAATTTTTAGGAGTTTTGTATCAACTTTTCCAGGATATAAATTTTTGTTTAAGTAATGATCATCTACAGCCTGAATAGGTGGAAAGGGTCTCTCCCATAGCATCATTGCCTTGATGCTATATACTAGCGTGGCCTGAGCAATGTTGCAAAACATGCCACCTCCCCCTTGGGAAAGGCACAGCCTCATGCCAGGGCAAACATCCTGCAGATTCTAGCCCCACTTACTTGCCCCTTAGTGGCACCTTTGCGTAGGGCACAGCCTGTACACAGAAAGTCTGGGTTTGTTTTTTGTTTTGTTTTGTTTTGTTTAATTGCTCTGTTAATGGCAAATGAGTACTACAGGGCCTCTCCAGGTTAAATTTCTTTTGAACGAGGTCAGTTGAGTTTTTAAATCCTTTAAAGCCACTGCCCTCAAATTGATTCTGATTCACAGTGAGCCTATAGGACAAAGAACTATGCCTTAGGTTTTCTGAGACTGTAAAGCTTTATATGAGCTCACAGCCTCATCTTTGTCCTGCATAGAAGCTGGTAGATTGGAATCACCAGCCCTGTGGTTAGAAGCCCAGTGTTTAGCCCACAGTGTCAACAGGGTGCTATAGGATAAACACTGGACTTCTAACCAGCAGTTCAAGCTCACCAACTTCTCCTATGGGAGAAAGATGAGGGAGGCTGTCTGCTCCTGTACATATTTACAGTCTCTGGAACATATATAGGGCCTCTATGTTTCAGAATTAAGGAGCTCTGGTAACATAGTGGTTACGAATTGGGCTGCTAACCTCAAGGTTGGAAGTTCAAAACTACCAGCTGTTCTGCAGGAGAAAGATGAGGCTTTCTGCTCCCGTAAAGATTTGCAGCTACGGAAACCCTGTGCAGGGTCACTATGAGTTGGAACCGACTCCATGGTACCTTAACAACAACAAATGAGTCAGAATCAATTTGATAGCTGTGAGTTGTTGTTGTTGTTGTTGTTATGTGCCGTGGAGTCAGTTCCCACTCATAGCGACCCTGTACAGGGTTTCCGAGGCTGTAAATCTTTACAGGAGCAGAAAGCCTCATCTTTCTCCTGCAGAACAGCTGGTAGTTTCGAACTACTGACCTTGCGGTTCACAGCCCGATTGATAGGTGTGAGTATGGGCACCTTAATGGAGTCCCTGGGTGGCACAAATGGTTAAGCACTCAATTATTAGCCAAACGGTTAGTGGTTCGAACTTACTCAGGGGATGCCTTCAGGAGACAGGTGTGCTTCTGAAAGGTCACAGCCCAGAAAACCCCATGGAGCAGTTCTACTCTGCACACAAGGACCCGTCGTGAGTCAGAGTCAATTCATCAGCAGTTAGCAACAAGGGGTACCTTGAAGAGCAAAAAACTCCCTAGGGATGATCCACCTTACCTGCTCACAAGTTTTAGATATAATGGAAGGTGCAAAATAGGATTTCTCTGTCTTCATATCAATCACACTGCCATATACAACAATAACAAATTTCATGGTCACATTATCAATAATCATTTCATTATAGCTTGATAAAGTCTCCACATAGGCATGGTTGTACTCCACACACTTCTGAAATGTTAAGTCCTACAACGAAATTACATTTTTTCCTATAAATCGTACAATTTGACACATGGTATCAAGAAGAAAGCAGGAGTGCTCTGGGAGTGTCAGAAGGCATATGAACCCTGGGACCTACAAACAGATTTGATTTTCAGGTCAGAATGACCTCTGACAAGATTCTGAATTCAGTTTTCATGTTGTTATTGTTTAGTGTACTCAAATGTGTTTGCCCAGATCTGTCTTTGGGACTTGCACAAACTCTCAGCCAGCCAATGCTGGTAGTCACCTCTGCCTTACCAACTTCTAATTGTACAGGAATCAGTCTTAAAGAGCTTACGTTGTTGGTGTTAAGTGCCATCGAGTCAGTTCAAATTCATAGTGATCCTATATAGGGTTTTTGAGGAGTGGCTAGTGGGCTTGAACGACCAGCCTACGGTTAACAATCAAGTGCTTATCTTATAGTGCCATACTAGGACTCCTAAAGAGCTTATAAAATGTACTGAATGGTAAGCAAGGAGTCCTGGTGTGGTGCTGTAGATTATTGTGCTGGACTGCAAGGTTGGTAGTTCAGCTCACCAGCCGTTCCTCAGAAATCCTATACAAGGGCTCTATGAGTCAGAACCCACTCAACAGTACTTAACAGCAAAAGCTGTTTTCTTGGAAGGTCAGACACAACCTTCCTTCCCATCCTTGTCTTGAAAATACAAAATGTATTTCATAAAGCATACAGTAAAGAAAGCTTATTCGTATTTTAATCATGTAATGTTACCTCATCAATGAGACTTGATTCAAAATACTGAGAAGCAATATGGAGAGCAAGCTTTAACCATATATTATATTCCAGGGATGGCCAGAAGACATCAAAGCCTTCATACAAATCCTCCAGGGAGATGAAGCAGGCCTGAAAAGAAAGCAGTGAGCTTTATTGTTTCAACGTCATTTTGTTATTGCTGGTAAGTAAGTTCTGTGGCATCAGTTCTAAAGGGTTTCCGTGGCCGTAAACGTTCACAGGAGCAGAAAGTCTTAGCTTTCTACCATCGAGCAGCTGTTGGGCTCGAACCATGGATGCTGTAGTTCATTGTCCATTGCTTATTGTATGTAGCCACCGCATTCCCTTCATCACCATGTTCTAGTTGTCAAGTACCATCGAGTTGGTTCCGATTCATAGAGACCCTGTATAGAGTTCCCAGAGATTGGCTGATGGGTTTCAACCACCAACCTTGTAGTTAGCAGTCCAGTGTTTTTCCTACAGTGCCACACCAGTATACCATAAACATGTTAAAATCAAATTTTTGTAAAATAAAACAAATGTTGTATAGAGAACATAAAGCTTATAAACAATAAGTCTGTATTATATCAGTGCAAACAAATTTAACGTTGTGATACTTTGTATGTAAGATTTGGGTGAAAGTTAATTAAAGCATATTAGTTTTCAATTCAACTAAACACATTTTTTTTATATAATATTAGCTGCAATTCCCTCAATTTAACAGTCTTCTTCTAGATTCCCACCATTCGTCTATCAGTTTGTCGCACTGTGACAGCTTACGTGTTGCTGTGATGTTGGAATCTATGCCACCAGTATTTTAAGTACCAGTAGGGACACCCATGGTGGACAGGTTTCAGCTGAACTTCCAAACTAAGACAGACAAGAAAAAAAGAGAGGCACACTACACCGAATGCTTAGCCACTGAAAACCTTATGAATAGCAGTGGAACACTCTCAGCACAAGAATATTGAATATTGAAACATTGTGAATAGCATCAGAATATTGTCAGGTATAGTGATGGAGCTCAGGTATAGTGATGGTTAGGAGTCAGGCAATTTGAAACTACCAGCAGTTCTGCAAGAGAAAGATAAGGCTTTCTGCTCCCATAAAAATTTACAGCCTCAGAAACCCTATACAAGGTTGCTATGAGTCAGAACCAACACAGCACATAATCACCACCACCATAGTGCCGGAAGATGAGCTTCTCAGGTTGGAAGGCACTCAAAATTTAAGTAGCGTTGACCATAATGATGGAAATGGAGTAGAGTTTTTAGGACCTTCATTTGCTGACAGGGTACAACTCAAAAAGAGGAGAAATAACTGTAAACATCCATTAATATTCAGAACATGGAATGTATGAATTAGGAATTTCGCAAAATTGGAAGTTGTCAAAATGAAATGGAATGCATATAGATATCCTAGGCATTACTGATCTGAAATGAACTGGTATTGGCCACTTTGAATCTGACAATTATATAGTTTACTCTGCTAGGAATGGCAAAAAGAAGAGGAATGGTATCTCAGTCATCATCAAAAAGAACAGTTCAAGATCTATCTTGAAGTATAATGCTGTCCTTGGTAGAATAATATCCATACGCCTACAAAGAAGACCAGTTAATATCATTATTACTCAAATTTATGCACCAACCAATAAGCCAGTGATGATGAAATTGAAGAATTCTACCAACTTCTTCAGTCTGAGATTGATCAAATATGCAATCAAGATATATTGATAATTACTGGGGACTGGAATGTAAAGGTTGGAAAGAGGAAGTATGAGTAGTTGGAAAATAAGGCCTTGATGATAGAAACTATGCTAGAGATCACATGATAGAATTTTGTAAGACCAGTTATTTCTTCAAGGTCATATTTTGGCTGTCATGGACTTCTTTTCATTTTTTTCAGCTTCAGCCTGAGCTTGGATATGAATAATTGATGGTCTGCTTTACAGTTTCCCTGTGGTCTTGTATTGGCTTTTCCACCATTTCTTTCCACAGATTTAGGCAATTTGAGTTCTGTGTATTTCATCTGGTGAGGTTTATGTGTATAAACATCTTTTATGTTATTCAAAGAAGGTATTTGCTACGAAGACAACATTGGTCTTGCAAAATTCTATCATGCAATCTCCAGCATCATGAGGATGTAGAAGAGGGATATCATTTGTGATGTCAAATGGATCTTGGCTGAAAGTAGAGAATACCAGAAAGATGTTTACCTGTACTTTATTGACTATACAAAGGCTTCCAACTGTGTGGATCATGATAAGTTATCAATAGCATTGCGGAGAATGACTATTCTGGAATAATTAATTGTGCTCATAAGGAATCTGTACATAGACCAAGATGCAGTCATTTGAACAGAATAAGGGGATGCCAAATGGTTTAAAATCAGGAAAGATGTGTGCCAGCGTTGTTTTCTTTCACCATACTTATTCAATCTGTATGCTAAGCAAATAATTTGAGAAACCAGATTATATGAAAAAGAACATGGCATCAGGATTAGAGGAAGACTCAGTAACAGCCTGTGCTATGCAAACGATACAAGCTTGTTTGCTGAAAGCAAAGAGGAATAAAAATACTAATGAAGACCAAAGGCCACAGCTTCAATATGGGTTGCACCTCAATGTAAAAAAAGCAGAAATTCCCACCACTAGACCAATAAATAACATCATGATAAATGGAGAAAAGATTGAAGTTGTCAAAGACTTCATTTTGCTTGGATCCACCATCAACATTCATGGAAGCAGCAATCAAGAAATCAAATGGCATATTGTATTAGGCAAATTGCTGCATAAGACCTTTTTAAAGTGCTGAAGAGCCAAGATGTTGATTTGAAGACAAAACTGCACCTGACTCAAGCCATGGTATTTTCAATTTCCTCATATACATGCATGTGAAAGTTGGACAGTGAATAAGGAAGACCTTAGAAGAATTGATGCATTTGAGTATGGTGTTGGACAAAATTATTAAAGGTACCACAGACTTCCAGAAAAACAAACAAATCTGTGTTGGAAGAAGTACAACCAGAATGCTATTTACAAGCCAATATGGCCAGACTTCATCTCTCAAACTTTGTACATATTATCAGGAGGGACCAGTCCCCAGAGAAGGAGGACTTCAGGCATGGTAAAGTGGAGAGACAGCAAAAATGAGGGAGACCCCCCTCAACAAAATGGATTGGCACAGGTAGCAGCAATAATGAGGATGGTACAGGACCACGCAGTGTTCCCTTCTGTTCTACATAGGATCGCTATGGGTCAGAACTTATTGACAGCACTTATCAAAAACAACAATGACTTCTTCATTGAAAATACCTTTTTTAAACAACATAAAAGATGGTTATACACATGGACCTCAACAGATGAAATACACAGAAATCTATTTGACTACATCTGTTGGAGGAGACAGTGGTAAAGCTCCATATCACCAGCCAAAACAAGGCCAGGAGCAAACTGTGGAACAGACCATCAATTGGTCATATGCAAATTCAGGTTGAAGCTGAAGAAAATTAAAACAAGTTCACAAGAGCCAAAATATGACCTTGAACATATCCCACCTGATTTAGAGATCATCTCAAGAACAGAACTGATGCATTTGACACTAATGACTAAAGGCCAATGAGTTGTGGGATGACATCGAGAATATCATACAGAAAGAAATACAAAAGTCAACAAAAGGACAAGAAAGAAGGAAAAGACCAAAATGGATGTCAGAAGAGACTTTGAAACTCTTGAGGGTAGAGAAGCTAAAGAAACTGGAAAAATATTATGATGAAATGTGCAAACACCTGGAGTTAGAAAACCAAAAGGGAAGAATATACTCAGCATTTCTCATGCTGAAAGAACTGAAGAATTCAAGCCTTAAACTGAAATACTGAAGGATGCAGGAAGCCATCAAAAGAAAATGGAAGGAATATACAGAGTCACTGTACCAAAAAAACTGGTCAATGTTCAACCATTTCAAGGGTTACCATACTATTAATTATACTGAAAGAATAAGCCCAAGATGTACTGAAGGCATTGGCAAAAAAACAAAGCTTCAGGAATTGATGGAATACAAATTGCAATGTTTTAAGAAATGTGAAATGCTGAAGGGTCTCACCTGTCTGTGCTAAGAAATTTGGAAGGCAGTTAACGTGGTCAAGCAACTGGAAGAGATCTATATTTGTGCTCCATTTCAAAGAAAAGTAGCTTAACAAAATGTGGGAATCATCAAACAATATCATTAATATCAGAAACAAGTAAAGTTTTGCTGGAGATAATTCAAAAATGATTGCAGCAGTACACTGATAGGAAGCTGTCAGAGATTCAAGCCGAATTCGGAAAAGGACATGGAATTATATGACATCATTAATGATATCAGATGGATCTTGGCTAAATGCAGAAACTTCCAGAAAGCTGTATGCTTGTGCTTTATTGACTATACAAAGGCATTTGACTGTATAGATAGCAAAATACAAATAACATTGGGAAGAACACTTAATTCTGCTCATGAGGAACCTGGATATAGACCAAGAGACAGTCATTAGAACAGAACAAGGGGACACGGAGTGGTTTAAAATCAGGAAAGGTATATATCAGGATTGTATCCTTTCACCGTACTTATTCAATATGTATGCTGAGCAAATAATCTGAGAAGATGGATTATATGAACATGACATCAGGATGAAGACTCATTAACAACCTGCAATATGCAGATAATACAACTTTGCTTGATGGAAGTGAAGAGGACTTTAAAAACTTACAGATGAAGATCAAAAATGGTAACTTTCACTATGAACGGCACCTCAATGTAAAGGAAACAAAAATCCTCACAACTGGACCAATAAATAACATCATGATAAAAGAAGAAAAGATTGAAGTTGTAAGGACTTCATTTTACTTGTATCTGCAATCAACACTCATGGAAACAGCAATAAAGAAATCAAACAATGTATTGCATTAGGCAAACCTGCTGGGGGGGCGGGGGAATCGCTTTGAAGTGTCAAATGTTAACTATGTCAGTTTAAGGACTAAGGTGTGCCTGACACAAGCCATGGCATTTTCAATCACTTCAAATGCATGTGAAAGCTGGACAACGAATATGGGAAGACCATAGAAGAATCAATGCCTTGAAGTATGGTGTTGGCAAAGAATATTGAAAGTACCATGGCTTTCCAGAAGAACAAGTAAATCTTTCTTGAAAGATGTATATCCAGAATGTCCTTAGAATCAAAGATGGCAAGAATTCATCTCTCATACTTTGGACATGTTATCAGGAGGGACCAGTCCTGAAGAAGGACATCATGCTTAGTAAGGTGGAAGGTCAGCAAAAAAGAGGAAGACACCAGTGAGATGATTGACACAGTGGCGGCACAATGGATTCAAATGTAACAATTTTGAAACAATACAGGATTGGGCAATGCTTCATTCTGTTGTGTATAGAGTCATTGAGTCGAAACTGATTCAATGTTACTTAACAAGAACAAGACTCAAGGAGGTTAAATAACTCACTCCAGACCCCACAACAGAATATGGTAGAGTTTAGTAGACTCAAATGTGACACACTAAACCTGCAAGTCTCAGCTAGTTCACATTGCTTTCCAATAGCTTTAGTTAAGTGACTAGCATATCAGACACAAAATGAAGAAAAGATACTGGTGCTTTTTATTTACTTGAAGAATTATTTAATAACAATATAGATAACCAGCTTCTTACCTGTAAAATAGTTTCACAGATGGCAGTATATTCATTTTCATGCTTAAGCAGACAGTTCAACTCTCCAATGATGTCCCCACTAGTGTAGAACTCTGTAAACACTGTTGTGGATTCTCTGTCAGGCTTTAGACTTTTGTCAATTCCAAAGGAAGGAGGTGAACCATGCAACTGGAAAGGAGAAAAAAATTGCAAAGGGAAATAAATTAAATGGCGTTTGACTAAGCTATGGAGTCCCTGTGTGGTATAACTGGTTAATGCTATTGGCTGCTAACTGAAAGGTTGATGGTTTGGGTCTACTGAGAGGCGCCTTGGAAGAAAGCCAGGTTCTTTTGAAGAACCAGCTGTTGGAAACACTCTGGGGCACAGTTTTACCCTTACACACATGAGGTCACAATGAATCTAAATCAACTCTATGGCAACTCTCTGGGGTTTTGACCAAATCATCAGAGTTCCCATGGTTTCTTGCAATTATTACTCTGGAAGGAAAAAGTTCTTTATGAATTTTGTCAGGTGTGAAGGAAGAATTAGGCTTCACAAAAGTCGTGGTCTCTCTCACATTTCAACTCTCCAAGGCATAGATCTGCTTTCAACCTTTAGCTTTACAGATGACCCCTATTTGCAACTTTCTACTTATACCTTTTCTTATACAAAACTCTCACAAAAACTAGTAGCTGCGGTCTGCAACTAATTCAGTCACCACCTCTGCTTCCATTAGTTATTCATATCGTAATGGAATAAAGGTGGGGGAAAAACTTGATGACACAGATACATAAATCAGATACTAAGAATTAATTATGCCTCCAAAACAAGCCCTGATTTCAGTAAAATTCTAATTTCCTTTTAATTGCTTAAGAATATTTTCTGGGAGACATCAACAGAAAATATTTTTAGAACATATATAGGCTGGTTGAGTTACTTCAGGAAGTGAATGGGTAGGCATGTTTGGGGAAGGAGGAGCAGTTGGAAACCATCCTCTCTGATGGATGGTTATTTACATAACAAAGGGCAAAGGTTTGCTGAAGAAGTTACTGTGAATGCTACCCCCTTTCATAGGAATTACCATTTAGACTTCTAAAGGCATCCATGTGTCCAAAAAACTGATTTTTTTAAAGTAGCCATCATTTTTACTGCAATTCAAAAGATCAGTGCAAGAAAGAATGCTCATCTTACTACAAAGAGATTTACCCCCCCAAAAAGGTGATAGCTATGGTACACAGAATTCTAAAGATAGCCCCTAAGATTCCTGTCCTCTTATTCAGTCAAACCCTACTCAAGGTACTACTGTGAATGGATTTTAGACGTGGAATCAAGGTTACTGATCAACTGATCTTAAAATTTGTTGTTGTTAGGTGCCATGGAGTCAGTACCAACTCATAACGACCCTATATACAACAGAACGAAACACTGCCTGGTCCTGGGCTAAGCTCACCACTGTTGCCATGATTGAACCCATTGATGCTGCCACTTGGCCAATCCATCTCGCTGGGGATCTTCCTCTTTTTCTCTGACCCTCCACCTTACCAAACATGATATCCTTCTCCAGCAACTGATCCCTCCTAACAATATATCCAAAGTATGAGAGACGAAATTTGGCCATTATGTCCTCCATGGAACACTCCGGCTGCACTTCTTCCAACACAGATCTGTTGGTTCTTTTGGCAGCCCATGGCACTTTCAGTATTCTCCTCCAACACCATAACTCTTCCAAAAGCATCAATTCTTCTACGGTCTTCCTTATTCACTGTCCAGTTTTACATAATATGAGGTTACTAAAAATACCATGGCTTGGGTCAGGCGCACCTTAGTCCTCAAGCAGACATCTTTGCTCATCAACACTTTAAGAAGATCTTGTGCAGCAGATTTGCCTAAGATTATCCTAAATTGTCCAAGTGGACTCACTGTAATCACATGAGCCCTTAAAAGTAGAGACAGAAGAGTCTGTCACCCAGATGCAGCATCCGGAGAACGACTTGGCAACTTTTTGCTGACTCTGAAACATAACGGTCCATACACATGTAAGGGCTAGAAAAGGCTACTAGGATCTAAGGGAGCCCACAGCTGACATCCAACAAGAAAACAGGGACCAGTGTTCTAGCAGTGTGTGAGTTTCGTAGTACTTGCAAGACAAATACCACAAGTGATTGGCTTTAAAAACAGAAATGTATTTCCTCAAAGTTAAGAAAGCTACACATCCAAATTCAGAGCACTGGCTCTGGGGCAAGGCTATCTTTCTGTGGAATCTGGAGGAAGGGCCTTGTCTTAGCTTCCATAGCCCTAGTTTTTCTTGGTTCTTGGTGGACCCTCACATTGCCTCTGTCTTCACCATCTTGTGCTCAGGTCTCTCTGTGTCCTTGCTGATCTTTACATCACTCAGAGTGATTAGGTTTAGGACACACTCTCCATGGATGGGACCTCATTAACATAACAAAGGAACTCAATCCCTAATAGGAATATATCCACAGGTATTGTTGTTGCTAAAGGTTGTCCAGTTGGTTGCTACTCAGAGTCCCTGTACAGGGTTTCTGAGGAGCAGCTGATGAGTTTGAACTGCGAACTTTTCGTTTCAAACCAACTTTGCAGTACAATGCATTATCCTACAGTGTCACACCAAAATAGAGGTTAGGAGTCCAACACTTATTTTGGAGAGACACCCCCAACGAGGTGGATTGGCCAAGTGGCAGCATCGATGGACTCAAGCGTGGCAACGATAGTGAGGTTGGCCCAGGATTGGGCAGTGTTTCGTTCTGCTGGGCATAAGGTCGCTATGAGTCGGTACTGACTCGATGGCACCTAACAACAACAACAACTCACTATTCAATCCATGCAAGCAGTAAGGAACTGGATTCACCAACAATCTGAATGATACTGGAAACAGATTCTCTCGTAAAGCTACAAGAAGGGAAAAGAGCTCTAATGACACTTGGATTTCAGCCTTGTGAGACTCAAGCAGAGAAAACAGTCAAGTCCATCAGACTTCTGACTGGGAAATTATAAATCTAAGCTGCTAAATTTGTGGTCATTTATTTGGGTAATACATCTTCAACATAATGCCGTTGAACTTAATATTTTATGAAGACTTAGTTAGCCCAACCATTGCAGAAAAATTTCTCCAAAGCAATACACATGTTGCATCCTTATTTTGGGTGTTTGATTTGACATAGTTAAGAAATACTGATAGTGATTAGTTTTGTTGTGATTCTAAAGGGGAGAGGCAGTTTAACATAGTAGCTAAGCACCCAGATACTGGAGGCAAACAGCTTGATTTCAAAGTCCTCCTGGGCTTCTTACGTGCCCGTGCCCGTGAGCAAGTGAATTAATTTCTAAATGAATCAGTTTTCTCATGTGTAAACCAAAGCTGTTGTAAGATTAAATGTTGCAACATGCTGCCTTTAACCCCCTCACCTCATCTATGTCCTCTGATATATTATTTATTTAACTTGTTTATTTTGTTCATTGTCTGATCCATCTCCCTATATCTCTCCACTAGAATGTAAGCCCCAGGAAGACAAAAAGTATTTTCTGCCCTGCCAGTCCTGTGCCTAGAACCAACTGTATGTGCTACATGGTAGAAACAAAGTAAATATTTGTTGAACAAATGAGTGAGTAAATGAATAGAAAGTACTTGTAACCATGCTAGAGAAAGGCCAGGCAATCCGCTTCTGAAAAATCATCCACTGTACACCTCATAGTGCCGTTGGACTCTGACACACACGAGATCATCGTGAATTGGGGTCACCACCCGACAATTGATTTTTTCTTTAATGTGTGTTACTTAGTATTGTGGTTGTTAGCTGTCACTGAGTTTGCCCTAAATTCATGGTGACCCCATGGGTTACAAAGTAAAATTGACCCATGGGGTTTTCTTGGCTGTAATCTTTATGGGAGCAGATTCAGAGGTCTGTCTTCTGTGGCACCGCTGGGTGGGTTTGAAACACCAACCTTTAGTTTAGCAGCCAATTACAAACCACTTACCCCACCTAGGCACCATGTTACTTAGTATTAAGATACAGCTGTAGATAGTTTATTTCCATGACTAATTTTGATGTCTTTAAGGTCTGTAATAACTGTTCCAAAAACAGAAAGCAAAATATATCATTTATTATTTGCCCAATAATAAGGGTTTGTGACTTGTGACCAGAATCTAGGATCTAAGAATTTTTGGGGGTCGTACATGAGGCTTACCAATGTATTCAATTGCTAGAGTTTGGCTGTTAAGGAATTCTTGTCCCCCACCATTGAAATAACTCTCTCTCTTTCTCTGTCTTGCTTTAACTCCCTCCTATTATCTGTCTCTTTCTCTCTCCCTCCACCAGAAATCCTTCTGGTTAAATTAAAAATTGTATTTTCAATCTCCATCCTACTCGATGTCTTGGAGGATTTGACTTTGTGGTTCATTCCCTTATTCCTGAAACTCTCATTTCCTTTAGGCAAATCATGTTGCCACCCCCAAGTATTGGTTTGCTTGTCTGGATTGTTGTGAGGACTGAGTAATGACTCAAGGGCTTTGTAAAACATGAAGCATCTTTCAGATGTTAGTATTATCATGATCTCTAGGCTGTAGTGTTTGCTCTGAGCAGAAACATCTTCAATCATTTGAAAAAGTTAAAAATTAGAAAGTTTCTCAGTCCCTAAAATTTCCTTTGTGTTACAATTACATATTTCAAAATACATTTCAGTTAAAATAAAAATAGTCCCTTACAATTGCCATTCCTGAAATAATTAAGTATATTCCTTGTGGCATTTCCCCTTCTTTACATATGACATCTCCATAATCAAAATATGCAAGTTTGGCTTTATCCTGTAAGAAAAGAACAAAAAAGCAAGTCAACATAAAAAAACCCTCTGTAGACCACTTTTCTAAACAGAAATATGATTTAAAAATCTAAAAATGAAGTCATGGGGTGGCACTGTAGTATAAGCACTACACCACAAGATCTGTTTGAACCACAAGGTCAGTGGTTCAAACCCACCAGCTGCTCCTCAGAAACCCTATACAGGATTTCCATGAGTCAGAAGTGACTCAATAGCACTTAACAACAACAACATTATGGTGGGTTTGTTAATGAAGTGTAATAGGATGACAAACCACATAGACTTTTAGAAAGAAAGGGAGAGGCAAACAAATTGTTGTTGCTCATGTTAGGTGCTGTCAAGTAACATTTCAACTTAGGATAACCAGAGACACAGGGTAGAACTGTCCCATAGGGTTCTCTAGGATGTAGACTTTATGGAAAGAGCCCTGGCAGCACAGTGGTCAGCAGTCCAACCCCAACAACCCAGGACCGAAAGATGTGGCAGTGTGCCACTATAAAGATTTGCAGCTCTGCTCTGTCCTGTAGGGTCTATATATGTCCGAATTAACTCCATGGTTACAGATTTTGTTTCAGAAATATTTATGAGAGTACACTGCCAGGTCATCCTTCTGTAGAAAGAAAGAAAGCTTGCCTAAGGCCAAGTAGCCAGTTTATGTATTCTTCAGGCCTTGTTCTTCTACTGTTTACCTTTGTGGTGGTGGTGGTTATATGTCAATGGAGTCGGTTCTGACTCATAGCAAACCTTTATAGGTTTTCTGAGGCTATAAATCTTTATGGGAGCAGAAAGACTTATGTTTCTCCCGAAGAGCAGCTGATAGATTCAAACTGCTGACCTTACAGTTAGCAGCGCAACATATAGCCCACTATGCTACCAGAGCTCTTTGGTTATCTTTGTAGACCTTTTGAATTAACTGCACCAGTTGGAAGAAGAAAAAAAAGGTAGGCAATTTGCTGATGTTATCATTCTAGATGGTCACTCGAAAATCAAAGACCAGATTAACAAATGATACTGACAATAAAAGGCAATAAAAATGAAAACTAAAATAAATAAAAGAGGTATTTAACTTTCATTAGAGCCATCTTACATTGGAGACATTGGAAGGAACCTGAAACGTAAGTCAAGGGACTACCTGTAAGTGAATTTTAATTATCCATGTTTTAGCGTAGTGGTTATGAATAAAGCTGCTAATCTCACAGTCAGTAGTTTGAAACTACCATCTGTTCTAC